ATGGTTAATTAAAGCACATTGGACTTTTGATGGTTAATTAAAGCACATTGGACTTTTGATGGTTAATTAAAGCACATTGGCCTTTTGATGGTTAATTAAAGCACATTGGACTTTTGATGGTTAATTTTAGCAATATATGAATTTTCTCTCTTCTGGATAAAACTGTATTCAGAAAGTTATAAGTAATTAGTTGCATAACATTTTTCTGAAACCCACCTTCTATCAGAATTTTTGGCTCCTCTCTGATTCCAGGTCGAATAACACCTTTTACAGGTCTTATCTCAAACAGGAACATTAAATCGGATATGAAGGCCAGCACATTCTGCCGTATAGAAGAATGCATGTAGAGCATGTCTTCAAGGCTGAGGAAGTAGATGTCATGGGGAAAGCTTTGCCTACAGAACTGTTCCACAAGCTGCAAATTGTAAAGAGAATCTGCCAAACTCATGGGCTCGAGGAGACAGATTTCTGAAGAATTGAAATGTCACATAAGACCTTTATCTATTCTGCTATTGTTAACACAAAAGATAATACAGACTTAACATAAAACTAAACATAACAGCAATAATGGTTACTTTATGAACATTAAATGTTTATTTAACTCACTCACTATGAGCTCAGCCAATGCGACCAAGGTCATAACCCCAAACTGACTATAATAGTTCCATACTATAACATTTAATATGTTTTGTGTATCTTCACAAAATTTCAGGAAACATTAGAAGTCTTTGGTACACAACAAATTAGATTTTTTAAATAAGTATTTTTACTAAAAATTTCTCCATGAATATATGGTGTTAAAGTGTTGACAGCTCTGAGTGCAAAGTAATTTTTAAGATTAAAAATACTTTTCTTCATCTGAAAATTGTCAAATTTCATTTTCGTAATCTCTAAAACATCCTAAATAAATACCAAACGTTTGTTTTCCAATAAACCCTTATATTTTATCTATTATTTTCTCTACTCTAACTCTATATGCATTTGGTCAATTTGACCAACCTCATAACCACCATAAAAAATACAAAATAAATCTAAATTATCCTTTTTTTCATTCTAGAATTGTAGCAGGAAATTACAGTTGTTTTTCCTAAATATATTAAAGCTCATAACAGTATACATCAGTTTCTACTAATAATCTCACCACACAAGTTGTGAATCACTCAGCAAACATGAAGCTCATGTTATCTTATTGTATTACATAATGCACAACCTGCTTGTAAGCATACCTCGTGAAGAATTTATATTATTATCATTTGTTTCCTTATCTTACCTAATCTAACCTTACAAGTTTCTAATTTTTACATTTTAGTTACATTTATAATAATAAATAAATAACACATAAGAATAACAAAAAATATGGAACTTACCTGGGACTTTTTTGCTTTTTCTGTCGATGATACTTAACCCTACTTTCTTATACTAATCGTAGTACTGCACTAAATAATTTTTTATTTAATTAAATAATGCACCAAAGAACACAGAATAATAATGTGCAAAAAACAGACAATGTCCCATAACTATCACAAATTTTCTGGCTTTTGTGTAAAACCCAGTAGTAATCAGTGAAATTAACTCTCTGTTTCTGGTCATCTCATGAGGTTTTAGTGAGTTACATTCAAAATTTAATTAAGCTACTTTCTTTTCATGGTATACCAATAAATATAGCAAAAAATTTAGCTAATAATCCATATTTTTATAGTATATAAGAGTTAGATTCTTACTTTTATAAGGCAGTATTTAAAAAGAAAACTAGTATTTCCCCTAGTATGAGAATTGTGACATTTGCTGTCTAGGCTTCCTCTCTTCTCTAATTTATTTACCACCCCTTCATGAAGTATGAAATTTAAAGTAAATTACTTATTATAATGTTGTCTTCACTCAGACAATGCATAATTTTTATAGTCTTCAATCTATATTATTTATAACAAATAGAAGCCAAGGTTTTCATCTATCAAATGACATATTATATTACATTATTTTCTGTACAGAGAATTGTCAGTTTATTTTCAAGTTCAACTGTTATTCCCACAGGAAACACACCAATGAGCTTAGCTGAATTCCTAAGGGCTCTTGTTGCATAGCTAGGTGTGAACTGTTTATTATTTTTTTAAAGTGGGCATGCTTGTTAGTTCATAAAACACACATCTGTATTAATAAATTTAGTGTTAATAAAGAATATGCTTGTCTGTGTTAGCAAAAGATAAAGGATAAACATAGTTAGGGGAAGGGGTATACATATTTTAAACATGGATGCTTAGAATCATATTTTATTTTTATGTCTGTTAAAACAATATGGAAAGAATCAGCCAGAAAAGTAGGATGAAATCACTAAATTCATTTAATTATATGACTTTCCTTGTACTATATGTTTAAAATACAAATGTGTGTTTTATGAACTAAGACGCATGCCCACTTTAATAACATAAATAAACAATTCACTATTTAATTATATGACTTTCCTTGTACTATATGTTTAAAATACAAATGTGTGTTTTATGAACTAACAAGCATGCCCACTTTAATAACATAAATAAACAGTTCACAAGCAGGCTTTCAGTGCATACACCAGGACATCTGGCTACTTACTCAATAATATTGATATTAGCTTGAACTTAAACTTTAAATATGTGAATGATTTGTTTTGTTTAGGAACCACAACCAACAATTCCATCTGTTCCAGTTATAGAAGACCTTGCAGACTTAAGTGATGGCTGTAGTTTAGCATGTTTACTAAGCTTCTACTGCCCAAACTACCTCCATTGGAAAGGTTAGTTCTAAATCTTCTTCTGTGTAAATCATCAATTGTTCATAAAATAAACTAATTAGGTTTAAAATCTGATATAAAGAAAGTCATATAATTAAAGTAGAACTGTTTATTTACGTTATTAAAGTGGGCATGCGTCTTAGTTCATAAAACACACATTTGTATTTTAAACATATAGTACAAGGAAAGTCATATAATTAAATTAAGTTTGTTGATGGTGTGCTGGTAATTTCTTGTCATATTTGAAGATGATGTTAAAAATTACTTTTCATTACAGAAGTTTATGAAGTGTTTCCTTTCTTCTGGGTATTTGGATAGTGGAATTTTTAATGTTGTTAGGTCAGTGGTTTGTATGACTTTTTTTTTTTATCTGTCAGGTTGGAGGATGTTAGAATGTTTTCTTTTTCTTTTGAAATGTCAGAGGTTCATGGAATGGTTCATGCTTTTTATCAGTTTGGAAGATGTTGAAACTATCCTTTTTTTTGTCAAGTGATGTTTTTATTATGTAATAACCCTAAGGTATCAATATGAACAGTAACAGTATTGTTATGAATCATTCATTGTATTACACGGGTATTGAAACATCTTGTTTATAAAAGTAAGTTAAGTAAATGTGAAGTCTATCAGATCAGTGAATTGAGAGTAGTTTGGTGCTCCATAATGTAGTCTGATAAAATGTGTATGTACTTGCACTAGTAGACTAATTTTGTATTATTCACCAAGTCTCATAGAATTAACAGTAAAGAGGTAGAGGTCTCTTGAGTCAAGTCAACAAGCCCAGATAGAACAATCATCTCAGTAATGCCTTACACAAAATAAAATTAATTCCATCATCCCATAATCTGATGAAAGAAACATTCATCCATTCACCAGTGTTACAAAAATGGATCTTTCCATTCTACAACTTACTAAATGAGGATATTGTTACACCAACCTCTGGTGGCTTGATAAAAAAAATAATACTTTTACAAATGTATTCCCATTTTTCATTGTTTCCCAATTTGCAAATTTCCTGAAAGATTTAATATTAATGAGTATTTGTAGTTTTATTGATAAAAGTCTAAATTGTGATTTGTTTATTCTCAACTAATTTACTACACTTTTCATACAAAAATATTTCTTAAATATCACATTTTTGCTTCATGATATAGACAAATAACATGAACAAACAACAAAAATATCTAACAAATCTACTCACATGACTAGAAGAGATCTGGTATGAGCCAAGTTCTTCTTCAATCCTCTGTCTCATCCTTAAGCAGCATTTGTTTAACCACAAGATAGCAGAGTCTTCAGCGTCTTCGGGAAACTCGTCAGGAACACTGACTGGGGAAAACCGACTGGCAAAGTTCCACAGCAGTGTATATTTATGAACTCAATTCACAGTATGCTCATAAAGAATGACATAGTTTTATCACTATGTAAGCAAAATAAAATATCTTGGTTTCATTTACAACAAGTAACTACTCAAAGCAATGTACTCATAAAGCTGTATTTATGTTCAACATGATGCAAATAATTTATATTGATGAATAATGAGAAAAGGCCCTGTTTTATTAAAAATATATATAAGAATTATAATGCTGTGGTCAAATAAAAGAAATATTACTGATACATCCAACATAATTTTGTAACAAATCATGGTATGATGATGATAATAATATATATTACCCTTCCAGAAATAGTATAGAATGTATATTTGTTCAGATAACTTTTCTAAATTTTCTGGCAGATGTTCTGAATGTAATTAATGTCTTCCTGATAAATCTGGTGTTTAAAGACTACAAATGTGCACTAATCCCCTTGCTAAGTAAATGTTACATCTATTTCATAGCAGCTTGAACGTATTTCTGTTACTGTTTCCTTGGAGTAGGGTTATGTTTATTTCTAAGGGTGATACAGACTTTTACAATTTGTATATCTACGAGTTGGAGTTTCTCTAAGGATTATGGGATACCAAATAAGGTTCAGGTCTGACTTGAAAGTGTGGTTTCTCATTATTTTTATGTTGGTTCTTTCCTAATCATATGGATGAAAGAGTTAGTAATAAGCTGTGTAACTACCAATAAGAATGAAACACTTAGTAAAACAAACTGCAATTAACCTCTAAATGTAAGGACAAAAAATTAATTCAGGCATAACAGTAAAAATAAAGGATCTAAAAATTTTATAAATTAACATTTTATGTTTAATTTAGATACTCCATAAAATCACTTTTATTAAAGGAAGACTAATATTCTATTTCTGTTATTTTCTCATAGACAACAACACAATATCTATAATTTAGTCAACTGAACAAAAACAAGTTTCAGTATGTTGATTTTGCTTATAAGCAAATATTAAACAATATCCTTTAAAGTACTTATCCAACAATTCCAATCAAAGTTTACACTTGTGAGGTTAACAGTATTACATTTCTTATAAATTAAAAGCATAAAAGATTCTAAACCTCAAGAAGGTCCTTTATAATCCCAACTTACCTACAGACTTCTACTACTTTCTCTGGTATGAGAATTTCTTTAATATATAGAGCCATAATTCCTTCTATAACAGCCATATGAGCATTCTGTAAGACAAAATAAAATACTATACAACCATAGAAGTACTACACAAGATCAAAATGAAACACAGTAACAGCCATATGATGAATAGTCTGAGAGACAAAATACTATACAACCATAAAAGTGCTACACAAGATCAAAATGAAACACATTAACTGCCATATGAATAGTCTGAGGGACAAAATACTATAGAACCATAGAAGTACTACACAAGATCAAAATGAAACACAGTAACAGCCATATGATGAATAGTCTGAGGGACAAAATACTATACAACCATAGAAGTACTACTCAAGATCAAAATGAAACACAGTAACTGCCATATGAACATTCTGTAAGACAAAATAAAATACTATACAACCATAGAAGTACTACTCAAGATCAAAATGAAACACAGTAACAGCCATATGAACATTCTGTAAGACAAAATTAAATACTATACAACCATAGAAGTACTACACAAGATCAATATAAAACACAATAACTGCTATAGAAGATATTCTGCAAGCTGCATAAAAAGATTGGAACATCTTTTAGAGCAACATACAACATTTCTATAAATACTTTAAATTGTTACTTTTATATTCTTAACCATCACATTGTTACAACACAGAAGAATTTAATGAAATCTAGTACTTCTCGATAAAGTTCTGAACTGATGGTTTCGAGCTGTAAATCACAATAACCCATTAGGATGAAATTATAATTGCCATATAATATTTTTTTTTTTTCTCATCAACAACAAAGTAAATTCTATTCATTAATTTTATTATTGTTCTAAAGATCAATTTTTAAAAGTCATACTGACTTACACTGTAGCTTCTCTAATTTGATGCCCATAGCAACACTTTGGCACACTACTAGATCTACAACAAATTTTGTTTTCACTTAAGAGGCAAATTTATCAAATACAAAAGCTTGTTTTAAAAATAAACATACTGATAATTAGTTTTAAATAATTATATGACTTTTTATACATGTATATTAATTAATCTTGTACCATGACTCTCTTTAATTATGTGAAATTAACTGAACAACATCAATATATTGATATGTAATCCTGTACCATGATTCTCTTTAACTCTTTCAACCCGGGCTCAGTTCCTAGGACTGACCTAATAACCATTTTGTGCTTGTTATAGTTTTCATGCTATAA